TATAACTTACAAAAAGAAGCTCAAGTGGCTTCATTGTCATTTCAACCACTGAGACCATGGTGCTACATGTAACAGTAAATCAGCACAGGACTGCATAAAGTGCAAGTATGCAAAAATTAAAGAACTGTGCAACAGAACGATGCATACACTAGTCGGTGCAATAGAAACGTGCAACAATGACAGTGGGTTGTGCAAAAAGTAGCTGAGGTAATGAAATGAATGTACAAAGGTATGTGTGAGTCTGTGATTTCGGCTATGTTTATGGTTTGTGTTATGTGTGTTCCCACTAGAAAATAAAATTAACCATTCTCTCTCAGGCCCTCCAAATTATGGAGGCCTTTCTGCCCTCACCACACTCCCTGCCAGTGGCTGATGCCCTCAGGCGCGGATGTGTTCGGTGGTTCTGTGTCCGTGGCATGGGCGCTCATGAGTATTACCGGCTCACCGAAAACATGGCCGACGCCTGACTCGCTTGGGGCCCTTCTGGTGCCTGCAGCTCGGTTCACTCTGGCACAGCTGGCTGCGGCAGAGCCTGGGCACGCCATGCAAGTCCCCCTCTGCTTATGCCACAGCTGCTTGGTGACCCCTTGTCAGGGGCTCTCCTTTGCTCTTCCCAGAAGGGTGGCACGGATGCCCCTCTGGTGGTCCTCCTTGGGCTCTCACACTCTGGGGCCTCTGGATGTCTGGGGCCTGGATGTACTCCATGCATGCTTCATGCCCTGGGGGACGGGGCTATGGCCCCCCACACCGGCTAGCAGATCGTTACATGGAGAAACCTTTTGAATACAAGCGCGCTCATCCACGCAGGTGTGCACTGTTCATAGACACAAACCACACCTTTCTTGGCTGCTACCTCTGAGTGGTTTACGTTTGTTTTCTTGTACAGTGTCCTTGGGTGTTTTGAAAGGCGCTTTTAGATCAAATGTATTATTGTTATTAATATTATTATTTTTAAATTTGATACAAACTTTATTCTGCTGAAAAGAAATGCATAGTTCAGTTTGACCTAGATTTAATGGACATTTTCAGAAAAACAACAACAACAAATTTAAATTTAAGACATAGATATATATTTCTATAAGATGTAGTCTTGCTTGTTTTGTTTGATCAAATATTGTAATTAGCCGCCAGAGTTGAACCAAAAAGCTGTAGCTAGTTTTGTTGGCGAGTGGGGGTTGGGAAGGTTTGTTCCGCTGTGTTGGGACTCACAGCCAAAAGATTCACCCTTATATAATACTGCATCTTTTAAAAATAAAAAATTATGCTTCATGAAGTCACAGTACAGTAATGTTATTACGTATTTGAGTTCCCATTAATAACCTGCTAGTGTTGTGGTGTTTTTTTCCCCCTCTTTCTCTTTAGTTCCAACAACATGTGCCACTATGAAGTGGGCTATCTGCGACGGACCCCCATGTACATGTACTCTTCTGGTTGGTAATGGTGTTAAACAGCCCATAGACTGCACAGCATGTAAGTTTAGAAGTGATAAAGGGGCTCCTTCCTGTTTCATGTCCTCTGTTTGACACTCCAGCCTGCTCATGGTGTGCATTTTGTTCCCCCCCTCAGTGGTCCCCAAGTAGGGCTAGGCCATATTATACCATTCACGGTAATACCGGTAAAATGCTAACGATAAGAAAATGAAATATCGCGATAGAATATATGGGTAAAACGCGCATGCGCAGTGGCGAAATAGCACAGCGGCAACGAAGAACGAGAAGGGGGAAAGCGGATTGTTGAGTGAAACGGATGAACCAGAATTGATTTGTAAAAATGGTGCATCTTAACTGATTTGGTGTTTGTCCGTCAGATACACAACAAAGCACATTTTTTGTAGAACATGCAAGCGGGCCGTCGTTATTGCCGTATTTGTAGGACTAAGGCGCTCGTAAATCTGGGGATAATCTGGGTCCTAAACTCCGTCCTTTAAGGTCCCAAAGTCAAACGAACACTGCAGCATCACTGAGAGTTAAAAACTGTCTAAATTCTTTCATCTTTAATAAAACGATCAGCATTGCTGCTTTACCAGGTGTAACTATGAAGTTTAACTTCCAGGCATCCATGAAAACAAAATTTATTACATTTAACGGAGTTAGAAGTTAGCAGGAAGCTAGCGGAAGTTAGCTCGCTAGTTTCGCTAGTTACCTAAGCATGTTCTGACTGAGAGATTTCTGAAAAAATTCAAACGTACAGCTCTGCTATCACTTCCAACATAAATGAAGACAGGAAACTAAACAGCAGTGACGTTTGTAGGGTTACTGAAGTTGGGCTAGGTGCAGTGGCAGTCCTAGCCTGTTTGGCGCCCTGGGCGAACACTCCCTCTGGCGCCCCACACACACCTCCCCACACACACACCTCCACCCACACACCCCATCTATCCATCCATTCGCTTCCGCTTATCCTTTTCAGGGTCGCAGGGGGCGCTGGAGCCCATCCCAGCTGTCATAGGGCGAGGCAG